TGGAATTACTGAAATTACTGATGTTGATGTTTTATTGGTTAAAATGATGCCAGTGCTCTACAATGAGAAGATTTTTATATGATTTATATGATGAGTTAGTCATCATGAGCTTGCCTGATTATAATCAACATAACTTTTTTGTTTTTTTTATTTTTGTGTTTAGGTTTTGCTTAATCAACCCTATGAAACTGCAACATGCAGACAAAACATTGCTCTAATTAATTTTAATTCAATTTAATACACATAAAAATTTAAATACCAGTACTGTTTGGACACACACAGACATCAAGAACCAGCATATGAATCTCAACAATGGTGACAATCAACACAATGCTTCATGCTGCAATGCATGCTGGGCAACAACATTGTAAAAACTCCCATCATGCACTGCAGTATGAAAAATTATTGTCACCACTGTTGAGGATCATATGATAAGTGTTCAGGTCTAAAACCCTGCGCTAATACTGCTTTTCTTTTTTTCAAAATTGAAGCATTGTGGTGGCATTTGTTTAGTGGGACTTTTTTTTTTTTCTTCAGTTGCAGCTGAATGTCTGTCAATAAACCAAAGAAAGACCACTTATTGTATGTTCATGCATCATGACATATAGGCAGAAAGTGTAAGCTCATCTGCTACTAGAAAGTTTGATTCAGAAGTGCACAAATGTTTGCTGTGAAACAACATTGTAATTGTTTAGAAGCAAATTACTTTGAATTATTAAAAGGGTCAAGAGACTACCTAAAGCAAACCTTGACCACAATTATGGTGGCATCGTGTGTGTTTTTTTTTTTCAGTTGATTTCATCCAAGGCTGTGGCTAAAGTCAGATGTAGTTCTTGTGTTTCTCTTTTCTTCAATGATGTTGATTGTTAACAGCAGGTGTCCATTACTAATGCACAATCATCATTTAATTAGTCACTTATTATTATCTCATTAACTTGAACTCTTTGAGGACTTGGGATATGACTTGAAGACTTGCTTGTGACTTGAAAGTCCCACCTCTGCTGAGAATGCTCTGGGAACATTACATTTCTAGCGGGGAAATCCATATACCTGACATGAGTGCATCCACATCATCCACCAATGAAAAAAGAGGCACGAATTTGGTTAACAGCTTGTGGAGTGATATAGGCAGCAATGTGATTGGATGATAGTTAACACATATTGTGTTGAACACACTGTGTTGTTTCTCTTTCTTTTTACACATGATCAACTTAAAATTGCACAAAATGTGTTATTAATTAATTAACCTTTTTGAGAGTGCAGAGATAGCTAACTACTACACTATATATATAAAGATAATAATTTCGGAAGCACAGCCACAGAGTGATGTGATTCTGCAACTGAGCCTGGTCCAAACGCAGGATTTAGGTAAGGAAACGGTTATTAATTATTTGTATTTGCTGCCATGCCAAATCATGCACACCTGCTTGCTTTTCTGTTTAATTTAAGTGTTTTTGTGAATGTATATGTTTTAATAACAAATAATTGTAAAACTTTACAATAAGGTTCCATTAGTTAATGTTATTTAATGTATTAAAGTGTTAGTTAATTATTGTAAAGTGTTACCCAAATAATGTATTTTGAGCGTTCACTTGAAACCTCATGATGGCTGATAGGGGCATATCAGTGTCCGTTCATGTACTAGAAATCCCTACACCTCTGTTAATTCTCATTAAGAACTTTTGTATGACAGAAATAAAGTCAAACTGCTTACTAACAAGTGAAGCTGGTGATTGGTGTTGTTTAATGCTCCTCTGCTGAGATCTTGAAAGATTTAATGTGTTTTATTTCAGCTGATTTCATCTAAGGCTGTGACTAAGCCAGTTGTAGTTGTGTTTCTGTTCTTCTCTCTCTTTTTTTCTGTTTTTCTTTCCTTCACTAATTCTGCTTGTTAACATTCTCATTAAGTTCAACTCTGCTTCAGTGTTACTTTAACACTCTGTATTGTGGGACCAAATACACTCTGAGCAGTGTTGATCCCTGAAGGTCCTCCAAATAACGTCCCCCAACCCTTTAAAAACTCAACATCATGAGCATCTCGGGAAACGTTCTGAGAACGTCATTTACACCAGCGGGACGCTCTGAGAATGCTCTGGGAACATTACATTTCTAGCGGGGAAATCCATATACCTGACATGAGTGCATCCACATCATCCACCAATGAAAAAAGAGGCACGAATTTGGTTAACAGCTTGTGGAGTGATATAGGCAGCAATGTGATTGGATGATAGTTAACACATATTGTGTTGAACACACTGTGTTGTTTCTCTTTCTTTTTACACATGATCAACTTAAAATTGCACAAAATGTGTTATTAATTAATTAACCTTTTTGAGAGTGCAGAGATAGCTAACTACTACACTATATATATAAAGATAATAATTTCGGAAGCACAGCCACAGAGTGATGTGATTCTGCAACTGAGCCTGGTCCAAACGCAGGATTTAGGTAAGGAAACGGTTATTAATTATTTGTATTTGCTGCCATGCCAAATCATGCACACCTGCTTGCTTTTCTGTTTAATTTAAGTGTTTTTGTGAATGTATATGTTTTAATAACAAATAATTGTAAAACTTTACAATAAGGTTCCATTAGTTAATGTTATTTAATGTATTAAAGTGTTAGTTAATTATTGTAAAGTGTTACCCAAATAATGTATTTTGAGCGTTCACTTGAAACTACTGTTTTTTTTGTCAGTTTTTGCAACACATTTAGCAAATTATTGTTGATAAGAATAAACACGTCTTAATCTGACACACAAGGCAAGCAACTGAAAGCATTAGAATGCCAAGTTTGCCGAGATGGCAAAGCACGTTATGGAGATAAGCATTTGCTTTAGTTGGGCTCTTGACCCTTGACTTTTAACATTAGTTTTTCTCTGGTTGCTGTAATTGTGTTTATGAAACATGTTTGTTATGACAAGAACTACTAATATGTTCAGATTATATTGGCCATTTTTTTGATTATGACATTGTTGTCATGTAGTAGCTAAGTTCAGCATTGTTATCTCATATACCTGCCACAATATAGAAATCATAAAATCACTACAGTTTTAGATAAATTGTAATCAGAGACTCAGACCCATGACATGATTTTACCATAAGTTCCTTGCCATCACATATGTGCTTAATACACACAATTGTGCCAGCCCAAGAGAAACTTAAATTTAAAATGTCAAGGGTCAAGAGGCAACTAAAGCAACCACTATTCACAAAAACGGTAAGTTGAAAAAAAACAAACATCTAAACATTTAATTCTCAATAAAGAACTTCTGTTTTAGATACTCCAGAAATAAAGTCTAACTGGTTAGTAATGTGTGAAGCTGGTGATGCTGTTTGTGGATTTGTTTAATTATCTTCTGCTGAGATCTTGAGAGATTTAATGTTTTCTTTTATTTCAGTTGATTTTATCTAAGTCTGTGGCTGAAGTCAGTTGTAATTCTTGTCTCTCTTTTCTTCAGTGATTCTGCTTGTTAACAGCAGCTGTTCATCACTAATGCTCAATCAGCACTTAATTAATCACATAATTATCTCATTAACTTTAACACTGCTTCAGTGTTACTTTAATACTCTTTTAGAGTGGGAGCATATATGCTCATTGGCAAAACGTTGGCCCCTTAGCACTGGCCCTGCATGGGCAGCCCTCACTTAGCCTCCAGGAATCCTTAGCGCTGTTTTATTGAAAATAATAAAGTTTGAAGTCACCGTTATGACAGTGTCCAAATAATTTCTGCATATGATTTAAAATGTCCAAAATAAAGCAAGACAAAATTTCATTTACTTGTATTCTGTATTAGTAATGTTAAGTAATAAAACCTAAATAATGTCCTTAGAGATCACATACTATGGGTGAAATCAGGGAATCATCAGATCAGTTTTTTCTCTTACAACTTATGCTATAACAAACGTGCTTCAGAAACACACAGTTACAACTGCCAGAGAAAAACTTAAGCTAAAAAGTCAAGGGTCAGGAACCCAACTAAAGCAAGCACTTAGCTCCATAACAGTGACTTCAAACTTTATTATTTTCAATAAAACAGCGCTAAGGCTTCCTGGAGGCTAAGTGAGGGCTGCCCGTGCAGGGCCAGTGCTAAGGGGCCAACGTTTTGCCAGTGAGCAAATTCTCAGGGGCCCTGCGCTGGCAGCCCTAAGTGCAGGCTTGTTTGCAGGGATCATACTCCCAAGAATGAATTAATTGAATGAATGAATTAATTGAATGAATGTTCCTCGTTTGAATGTTTTGTGAGTTATCAGCAGAGGTGTAAAATCCAGGTTCAGAAAGTAAAAGTCCTCCACAGTATTTTGTTCCAATCACCTGGATTTGCTAATTAGCACTTTCAGCCAGTTTTATTGGTCAAGAAAAAAAAAAACACGCTGACACCATTATTGTGGTCAGTGTTTGCTTTAGTTTGTCTTTTTGACCCTTTTAGGAACTCAAAATAATTTGCTTCTAAGCAGTTGCAATATTGTTTCACAGCAAGCATTTGTGCATTGCTGAACCAAACCTTGAAGCAGCAGATGAGCTTGCTTTCGGTCTGTAGCTCGTGATTAATGAGCATCATGAAGTGGTCTCTCTTTAGTTTCTTGACGGACGTTCAGCTATTACTGAAGAGTCAAAAAGTCAGATTAAACAAATGCCACCATAATGCTTTAATACTGAAAAAAAAAGAGAAGTGTATTGGCTCAGGCTTTTCGACATGAACACGTATCATATGATCCTCAACAGTGGTGACAATTTTTCATACTGCAGTGCATGATGGGAGTTTTTACTATGGTGTTACCCAGCATGCATTGCAGCATGAAACACTTTGTTGTTTGTCACCATTGCTGAGATTCATATGCTGGTTCTTGATGTCTGTGTGTGTCTAAACCGTACATAGGCTTAAATATTTATGTTATATCATATCACATGGATTTAAATTTTGTTCACAATATCTAATAGAGAAATTCATCGCTTGCATGCTGTAGTTTCACTGGATTAATTATGCAAAACCTAAACATTTAAATAAAAAAAGTTATTTTGATTGGGATCAGGTCATGACCACCTCATCATATAAAAACCGCTATTATCGCCTCACTGTTCAACTCCTCATGCAGTGTTACAAACAGAGATCTAATACTGGAGGCAAGGGTCAAGAGTCCAACTAAAGCAAACACTGATCTCCATGATGGTGTCATTATTTTAACCAATAAAACATCAACATCTGATCCTCTGTAATTCTCAATAGCAGCAGGTGTTCATCACTAATGCACAATCATCATTTAATTAGTCACTTAATTATCTCATTAACTTTAACTCTTTGAGGACTTGGGATTTGACTTGAGACTTGCTTGTGACTTGAAAGGAATTACTTGGTTCCTCCTCTGGTGAAATCAGCTGAGTTCATGGGTGGAATAAACATATGGCAGGACTTCTACTTTCTGACCCCTGGATTTTACACCTCTGGTTATCAGTCAGTAGTTTTTGACTCTCTGCATTGAGGCAGCTTGACAAACTATGAAAGATGGGCATGTTGATATCTGTATAAGTTACAGAATCATTTAACTGACTGACAGTATACACAACAAATGAAAAGAGAAAGAAATTGGCCTCTCTGAGCAGGTCTTAGCTGGCCCCGGATGGCTATTACCAAGGCAATATCTTTTCTCAAGCATTGGGCTAAAGTGACTTTCCGTGACAGCTGGAGTTTGAAATGCAATGCTTGCATTATGGAATGTGGAGACGGGACAAAATCAATCAGCACATACATATGTGCATACAAGTTGTCAGGGGATTATGTTGAACATCATTTCATATATCTGTTTTCAGGGTTGCATTGTAAGTCAAGGATATACTTTATAGGTAAACAGATGAAACACACTGAAAACAATGTGAGAATATGAGAGCATAGAACCTTGCTTTCAAACATTGATTTGGTCACCTCTGGCCTTCTCACTGGGGGCTTTGAGACAGGATTTTCTTTAAAAGTGCAAATAAAAATTGACATATTTATACGGGTAAACGTTCATGTGTGTGCACTGACCTCTGTGCTGCGGCTGTAGCTGCGGCCTCCATGGCAAACTGTCTCATTGCACTCTCTTCTAAGGACTTCTGTTCCCAGCGTGTCATATCAGCCTCTAATCTCAGAATCCTTTCTTCTCTCTCCCTTAGCAGATCCAGTAGTGCAGGAGCACTAGACTCACATACACTAAGGGAAACACCTACACCAGCACGCTACACACAGGGAGAAACAGTGGTTATGAGTATATTGAGCTTGATAATTGCTTTTCAACATATAGGTCCACTGTTGTTGAAAACTCCCTTTTGTGGCAAATATGTAATGTCACTGGATTGAGCATTATCTCATTTATTATTACATAAACAGATCTATGCCAGCCTATGCATGTCTATGTTAAGGAGCACTCTGAACTGATAGCAGTTAGCATGCAGCTGGAAAATCTACTGTGGGAGTTCTCTACACAGTAAAATCCTGTGTTAAATTAACACTGCTCGGAGCATATATGGTCCCACTCTAAAAGAGTGTTAAAGTAACACTGAAGCAGTGTTAAAGTTAATGAGATAATTATGTGATTAATTAAGTGCTGATTGAGCATTAGTGATGAACAGCTGCTGTTAACAAGCAGAATCACTGAAGAAAAGAGAAACACAAGAACTACAACTGACTTCAGCCACAGACTTAGATGAAATCAATTGAAATAAAAGACATTAAATCTCTCAAGATTTCAGTAGAAGATGAATAAACAACTCCACAAACAGCATCACCAGCTTCATGCATTACTAACCAGTTAGGCTTTATTTCTGGATGATCTAAAACAGAAGTTCTTTATTGAGAATTAAGGTTTAGATGTTTTTTTGTTCTTTTCAACTTACCGTTTTGGTGAATAGTGTTTGCTTTAGTTGCCCCTTGACCCTCAACTTCTTAAATGTAAGATTGTCTTTGGCTGTTACAATAGTGTTTATGAAGCATATTTGTGATAGCACAATACTTACCTGGCAGGAAAGACACCATGATCAAGAAGGTGTATCACCCAGGATAACGTTTGTTCTGGTTTAGAGTATTAAACAGAACAACAATGTCGGTCTCTTTGGTGCAAAGGAATACAGTCTGTTTTGAGCTTTTGGAAGGATTGGAGATGGATCGTTTGAATTTCAGCAGGAAAATCTTACAGACTGTATTTGGATTACGACCGTTGCAACTGGATTATATCTTTGTTCTGTCTGGTAGGAAAGTTTTTGAAGTTGTTTTTACCACCTTTTCTGCTTATGAGCTTTGTGTGGAAAGATTCAATTCTAAGAAAATGGTGACTCCCTGTCTTCAGAAAATCCAGTTGACTCCTTTGTCTGAAAGAGATGTTAGAACTGATCCTTTCAGAATATATCAGAACAGTTACAAAGTAGAAGATACTGCTACTTGGTTGTCTATCCATGACTTTTCCAAAACTTTTCCAGGTCTGGAAATGGCTGTTTTAAAATTTCATGACTTTTCCATTTTTTTCATGACTGTAAGAAGATGCACGCTATTAAATTAAGCTGGTCCTCCATTGCGCGAATGCTCCGTTACCTCTCCCTCTTCTAATCATGCCGGATCCGTCACCCCACTTTGCTCCGAAAGCTCACAATTTACAAATTAAGCACTGTGTATGTGTGTCTAAACAGTACAGATGTTCTTAACTGGTGTACAGAGTGTGTTTAAAGTTCTTTATTTTGTTTTTTTAGAACACAGTTGCAATCAAAAACAAACTAAATTATACACCACCACTGATGATGTCAGTGAGTCAAGCTATATATAATTACATCATTGCCATAATTTTCTTGCCATAATAAATGTGATTCATAAACACAGTTCAGCAATTAAAGAAAAACTAATGTTAATGATGTCAAGGGTCAAGAGCACAACTAAAGCAAACGCTTATCTTCACAACGGTGACTTAAAATTGTATTCTTTTCAATAAAATCTAAACCTCTGTTAATTCTTAATAAGAAATTTTTAAACGCATGACAAATAAAGTCTAACTGGTTAGTAATGCATGAAGCTGGTGATGCTGTTTGTGGAGATGATTAATCATCTTCTGCTGCGATTTTGAGAGATTTAATGTCTTTTATTTCTGCTGCTTGTTAAAAGCAGATGTTCATCACTAATACACAATCATCATTTAATTAGTCGCTTAATTATCTCATTAATTTTAACTCTTTGAGGACTTGGGATTTGACTTGAGACTTGCTTGTGACTTGAAAGGAATGACTTGGTCCTACCTCTGGTGAAATCAGTTGGCTGAGTTCATGGGTGGAATAAACATATGGCAGGACTTTTACTTTCTGACCCCTGGACTTTCCACCTCTGATGCTAGGAGCATTGAATTTTATATTATAGTGCAAAGAGCTTGATTAGCTGGTTCAGGTGTGTTTGATTAGGGTTGGAGCTAAACTTTGCAGGACACTGGCCCTCCAGGACCGAGTTTGGGCACCCCTGCCCTATACCTACACGGAGGTAATGAATAGGTACACTATAATTACAAAAAAGTTACGCTGTATTTTCAGTTTACTTACGCAGTTCTTTGCAGGTTACATATCTGGTTGTTACCCCCTTATTACCCAAAACGTAACACAATGATCCCTTATACCAGGGATTAGGGCTGAACGATTAATTGCATTTGCGATAATATCGCGATATGAAAAAACACGATTTTTCAATCGCAGAGACTGTGATTTGACTCGGTCACGTGACATGCCAGAGTAAAGAGGTGTGTTCCACTTGAAGATCGATTGGTGTAGCCTTTGACATCAAACAGCGAGAGAAAGCATATGGAGACGGCCGCGCTCTCTTATAGCTCTGGCAGTACTTTGATGACACACCCATCGGTCTAAGCAGCGCAGCTTCAAGTCGAGCGCGGCCATCAGCAGAAAAAGAAAATAAATAATTACGCAAATTTTTCTCTATTTCCTTCTCTGTTTCTGCATTGGCATCCCGTGGTAACTAGGAATTACACACGCTTCAGTTTGGGATAACAGGGATCCTCAAATCTGGCCCACGAGATCCACTTTCCTGCAAAGTTTAGCTCTAACCCTAATCAAACACACCTGAGCATGCTAATCAATGTCTTCAGGATCATTAGAAAATCACAGGTAGGTGAGTTTGATCAGGGTTGGAGATAAACTCTGTAGTGCATTGGCCCTCCAGGGCAAGATTTGAGGAACCCTGCCTTATACCTACATGTACGTTCTTTATAGGTACACTATGTTTCCAGAAACGTACACCGTAAATTCAGTATACTCACGTAGTTCTTTGCGGGTTGTAATCTAAAGCGTTACCGTTATTTTTGTTGTGACTTTTTACTGCCTTGTTTTATGATGTTCAAAAATCATATCAAAATTATCAGAATATTTTGTCACCATTGCTGAGAATCACATGCTGATTCTTCATTTCTATGAGTGCCAAAATTAAAATCTCTTTATGAACCATATTTATAAGCATGGCTTATAAATTTTTCTCACATTGTCATCATAAAAACACTAAAAATTTACGTAAAATACAAAGAGAAACTCAGACACATTAAATTATATTATCATAAGCTCTTTTCCATCATATACATGCTTTATAAACACAATTGTAACAGCTAAAGAAAAACTTATATTTAAAAAAAGTCAAGGGTCAAGAGGCAACTAAAGCAAACACCATTTTTACAAAGCTCATCGGTCTGAAAAGAGTTGATTGGCCAGCTATCCAGTGCGTTGTGATTGGCCGAATACCTCAAGCGTGTGACGGAAATGTTACGCCCCTTACCATATTGTGATGCCTTGTCCCGGCCGGAGCGACGAGACAAAAACATTAAAACCCATTATAAACGAGGCATTTGTTGCATCCAGTGGAGACATAATTACGGATTATAATGACTTACACTGTC